AGATAGAGTCAACTGCAAAACTGCTAGTGAGGAGTGTATGGAGAGGGAGGGAGAGGGGGGGGAGAGAGGGAGGGAGAACAAAGAGACAAGACAAAAAAAAAAAAAAAAGCCTATGACCAACATTAACCTGACCCCTACCCCAAATCTAAAACATAGCAAAAAATCTAATGTTTAGAAAAGCAACCAACAAAATTAATCATTGGAACATTCACTCCAGATGAATTTGATTTTATAGAATTGCCTGACAATGACTTCAATGTGAGTATGTTTACATTGCTCAAAGATAAATAAAATGTATCTGTAAAAGAAATGTTAATAAAAACAAAGCAATAAGGTAAGAATACATGATAAAAAAGCAAACACATCTAAAAACTCAAAAATATGTTCATTGACATAAAAATGCAACACACAGAATAATTTAAGATTGCGCAATTTTAAGGAGAGGATTAAGTGAGTTAAAAGTTAATATTAAGAAATTTACTCAGAATAGAAATCACAGAAAGTAAAACATAATTTTTAGAAAATGAAAGAGCAGCAGAGATTTGGGTAAATTGAGTAGGAAACACCAATATATATCTTATAAGAATCCCAAAAGAAAATGAAGGTAGTGACAAAGAAACAATAAAGAAAAAGAAAATACCTGAGAATTTTCCAGAATTAGAGTCCTGAGATTAGACAGTATATCTTGAATTCATAACTAATAAATCAAAATAATTCAACAGCTAGACATATTTCAGAAGACCTGTACAGAATACATCCAGGACAAAAACTCTTAGTTGCTAGAGGAAAAAGGTAGAATACCTACAAAGAAAGGAAGAAGAGACTGGTAGCAGATTTCTCTTAAGTAATGATAAATGACAGAACAACAACCTAAGATATATTTGAGTACTATCTTCAAATGCTGAGCAAAATTCCCAGATAAGTTGTTATTTAGTATTAAAGATAAAATACAGATACTTTTATATATACAAAATGAGTGCACCTCCCAGGCCACTCCCTAGAGAATTACTAAAAGGTGTAATTCAACAAGAAGAAAGGAAGCCATAGACTCCAAGGATAGTGGTTGCCACAGCAATTACTAAAATATATGAGTAATATAATTATTGACTATCAAAAGCAATGGTAACCACTTCTTGTATATGTTTGAAACAAATAGGTAAAACTAAACCTTCATTCAAGTTATATAACAAGACTGATACTTAGTAAGTAGATAAAGCATGCTAGGCACTCTTTTTTTTCTTGATTAAAGAGAAAGCCAGAAATACTACAAAGTGAATTTTAATTTTTATTAGAAAAACACATAGTTAGGCATGTATATAAAAATATTAGCATGATCACTAAAAAAACAGATAAGTCACTTATAGATTTTAAGTCCAGCAGTAAAATCCATGTACCAGGTCGCAAAAAAATAGCTCAAAATTTTTTTTTCACTTAAAAAGATATAAAACAAATCGTATCATAATGCAATTAAATTCAGAATAGGTAATAGATATAGAGCAAATATGTATTTAGGAAGTGAGAACACACACACACTTCTAAATAACTCAAGGGGTAAATATGAATCAAAACAGACATAAAATATTTAAAACTGAACAAGACTACATATTAAAACATATTATGCAGCTAATCAGAAATTTGAAGAATTTTGAGATTAAAATTCATTTTTAAAAATAGTAAGACAGTACTGAATTTAAATGAGTAGTAATTCAACTCAGTAACTTGGGGGGAAAATGGTCTAAACTATAAGGAAGTAGAATGAACCATGTTGATAAAAGCAGAAAGTAATGATATTGAATACAAAGACATAATAAAGTAGATAAGCAAAATCAAAAGCTAGATTTTAAAAGAAGCAAAGAAAACAGAATAATGTGTAACAAATAGTAAAGGAAGAGAAGAGGCTCAGATGAATAATATTAGAAATAAGAGGGGATCAATAGAGATAAAATAAAAAATCATCAACTGTTATAAGCAATTTTATGCCAAAAAATGTGGAAGTACAGATTAAGTGTTAATTGTACACTTTTCTAAAACAAATAAACAACAAACTTTCCCAAAATTGACTTAAGAAGAAATAAACCAATGACCATGGAAATAGCTGAACTGATAATCAAAATCCACCCTATACTACCTACTCCCACTGACAGAAAATGTCAGGTCCAAATGATTTTAGAGGCAAGTTTAACCAAATCTTTAAAATAGATAATCCTTATAATATAAAAACAGTTTCAGAAATAGAAAAAAAAAAAAAGGAATGCAACTCAACTTATTTTATGAGGCTGGTACTACCATGATACTACAACGATATCTACAATAACAGTTTAAAAAGAAAAATTAAAAAACTAATCCCCATGCAAAAATATTACAGGAAATATCAGCAAATTGAACTTCACAGTGGATTAAAAAATACACCAAGTAAATTTTTCTCTGGAATGTAAGATATGCTTAATATCAGAAAATGTATTAATATTATATAAAGTATTAACATATAAATGATAAATTTTACTATTTTGTTGATACAGAAAATATATTAGACATTATGATAAAAATGCCAGCAAATTATAAATAGAGGTTGAAAACTTCCTTAATGCAATAATTTTGATTTATTAAAATTCTTAAGCAAATATTGTATTTCTAAAACATTTTATTAAAGTATGAAACAAAACAGATATTCCTAGTATCACAGTTTCTATTCAACACTATATAGAGGTCTTATTAATGCAATATGACAGGAAAAAGAAATTGAGCATTTAAGAAATGAAATTTAAGAGAAAAATGTGTCTTTATTTGCTGATTGTATATGTGTGTATGAAGAAAACCTAAGAGAATTTCCAGCTTACCCATTAAAACTAATAAGGGGATTCAGAAAAGCTGCTGAATATTCAACAATGATAATCAATAAATAATGAAATAAAAACAGATTCTATACATAAGAGCAAGAAAATCTAATTTACATAAGAAGACATCTAACAAAATAGATTCAAGTGACACTTGTATGGGGAGAACTATAAAATATTATTAAGGAGCATAAAAGAAGACCTGATTAAGTAGAGGAGTGTTAATGGGCAGAAAGACACGATGTCATAAAACTGTCAATTCTCCCCCAGATTACTCTCTAGAGTATTACTCTCTTGGTAATTACAAATAAAATTCACAGGGCTTTTACCAAATGACTAGGTAACCCTAAACTTCACACTGAATAACAAGAGGCCAAGAGGAGCTAAGAGAACTTGCAAGAAAACAATGTACAGAGATTTCCTTACCAAATAACAAGAATATTATAAAGCTGTGGTAACTGAGGCACTATGGTGCCAGAATAGAGAATACAAGAATAGAGAAACAAGTCCACTGGATGAAATGAAGATCGTAAAAACAGATTTGATGTAGGGGAAATATGGCATTACAAATTAGTGGTAAGGATGACTAATTTGTTAAATGGTGCTGGAGTAAGGTTATGCACATGAAAAAGAATTAAAATAGGGGTCATGTAAGATTCCATATACAAAACAAATGCCAAGAAGATTAAGAGATCTAGAAAGGCAAAACTTTAAAACTGTTAGAACAAAATATAGGAAGGTTTCATAATGACTTATCATATGAAAGGATTTCTTAAATGACTTAAAAGGACACATTATAAAGGAAGTATCAATTAATTTAATTGCACTAAAATTAGAAACTCTTAAAAATGCATGCTAGGATAGACACAGTTAAAAGAGGAACTACAAATTGGGAAGAGATCCTTGTATTCCATATTGCCCAAAGGATGGGAATCCAAAATATTACGACAACTGAGACCAAAGCCAAAAGCCATCCAAACAAACAATAGCAAAAAAACAAAACAAAACAAAAACCCAACAAAGAGATGGACAAGGATACAAATAGGCAACACACATGAGCAAATCCCAATGGATTATAAGTGAAAAAAACTTTTAAGTGAGACATTATTTAATACCTTATCTGACTGACATAAATTTAAAAAGTCTTCCCATTCCAAGTATTATGAAACATATGGAGAAGCTCGTATAGACTGCTCATGTGAACAGACATTGCTACTATCACTTTAGGGAGACATTTTACAATCTCTAGTAAAGTTGAAAACGCATTATTTCTTCCAGTTTAGCAATTCCTCTCTATGTTTAAATATGCATAAAAATGTTAACTGCAGTATTATTTGTGAAGGGGAAACACTGGAAATAATGTCTAACAATGAGAGACTCAATAAATAAATTTTAATTTTGGGTTTAGTGGGATGCATTTTGTATAAGCCATAACACATGCCTTATGTAAAATTATTCTTGATGATAGAAGCCAGAATAGTTTTACTTGTTTTCAACCTTTTGTGAAAGCTTTAGAGAATATGACCTGTAAGGGAATATAAGGACCCTTCCTAGGTATAATGAATATTTTATAGCTTGTATTAGATGTCATATGAATGTACACTTACATAAAAGTTCATCAGGCTATACACTTAATTTGTGAACTTCACTGTATGTGACTTATAATGGAAAAATAAAAAATAAAAAAAGGCTTAGAAATAAATGTTCCAAATTAATTAAGGTTTGTTTTACCTGGGTACTGAATTCTTGCATTTTCACATTACTCTTTGTACTTTTATGTGTTTGAAATATTTTAAATGAAAAGAATTGATAAGACAAAGACTACTGCTTTTCCTAACTAGAATTAAGGTAAAAGAAAGCACTAGGGTCATCTTCTCTTTATTGGCCCTGACAACAGATTCCAATATTCCAGGGATCAATAAGCACTTCATAGTCAAATATACTTAAAAATTGATCATTTTGTTGAATCAAAAGCACAACTCAATTTATTTCTCAACTACCTGTAAAACCTAGGCTACCTTAAGTAAGTGACCAGCAGCATATGTTGTTGATACGACGCCACCAGTGCCCAAGGAACCTCCGTCCATTTAGACTGTTCAACCGATGAAGCGGGGAATGCTCAACAGGTGGTTTGGCATTGATATGGCTATTTGTTTATGGGCTCACCTCTGGTTTCAGAAAAGAAGAAGAGACGATACCTTTTCTATGCAGTATTTCAAGTTGACCATATGGAAAGCAAGGTTTTATTCCAGCCAATTCTCTTGCTCTCAAAACGTGGAGGAAAAGTGCCAGCCACTGCTACTCTTGTCACCAGCCACGGTGCAGATGTTTGGAAAATGCGAAAATGGAGAAATGAAACAAAGAGAAAACCCTCAAAAATAAGTTTTGCATAAATGAAAAATAGAGTATATAATTATCATAGCTACAAAAAGGTAAGTGCATTTTTTATTTATCCCCTTGTGTTAAACTAAAAGAACCAAAACAAACAAAACCATTGATGTTTTGACTTAATCAGTGTTTTCTCGAGAACCAACCAAAACATTGCTAAAAGTGGGAATAAAGAACAGATTTCTTTTAATCTAATAAAAGGTATTTTATCTCCAAGAATGTTAGAGTGTGACCTGCTTAAATGAGTACTTACTAAAGGAAAAGACCCATTTGAAAATGTATGTTTTCAGGTGTCTAAATGGGAACGGACTGTTTCTTTGAAATTTTGTAAAACAAAAAAAATTAATTGAAATTACAATTCCTTACAGGACTCAGATAAAATACAGCTTAGAAAGAAATGTCTCCAAACTATTCAAGTATATATCCCTTAGTTTTTAGCCAGTACATAACTCTAGTTATTACAAAGCAAATATCTTATTTGATTTAAGCACATCAGTGTAAATTATTCAAATAGGATTGTCCTTGTTTAAAAGAAAGTTTTAAACAATTTATGTAATTTCTTGATTAGGCCCAGTTCTGCCACAACCCTGCTGTGTATCTCGTCTTATGTCATTAAACCTCTCTTGGTCGTGGTACCCACCTCGCTGAAGTGGGAGTGTGACAAAAGTCACAGCCCTATCATCAAGCTCCTTTCTTGCCCTAAGGATCTAATGAAATTACTCCAGCGTAAGAATTTTTCTTTTTTTCCCTCCCTTGGTACTTTCTTAAAATAAATAGCCAAATAAATACTCAAATAAGTAAATGTATATTAAAAACACATACACAGACACTAATCAGCTATCCCTCTAAATAGGAAGAGAAAAAATTTTTGTTGTTGCCATTACCTATTCCCTAATGTGTATTTAAAAAAGAGGGTTCCCATAAAAAAGATTTTTATTTTTTTCCGAATCAAAAAATAGCTTATCATGTCTTTGCCATTTAAGTTCTATTGAAAAATAAAACACAAAATCATTACAGAAATCCTAGTAGGAACTTTCAAAAGAAAGAGGACACTAAAACTCCATTTAAAATTCAAATCATTTGTTTCTACGTTTTCTTTTACAGAAATACAAGTGCCTCCTCAAACTATCTCCACTTCCTTTTTCAGGAACAATATACTGAACTGTATCAAACATTGGGACCCTATTCTCATAGCCTTCCCACCTGTCTTCTGAGGGAACAAAGCTGAGGTATAGATTACAGCATGAGATATTTGGGACAGGAGTAAAACATTTCATCTAGGAGGCAGTACTGCAGTCAATTTGCCAAATATACAAGAAAGTGAAGCCCCATCATTATTTTGGCGTCAAGTTTGGGTTCTCATGGCTCAACAATGATAATCATTTTTACACAAGACTTTTAAAAATGAAAGCACCTAGAGCAACAGTCAGAAAATGTCTGAGAATGCAAGTGTTTCCCATCGGTATTTAAACCAGATAAGACACTATCAATGCACCCTTAACGAAGGGTCTAAAAAGAATACAGGGCACCTGACACCTTGGTGAATAAGAGAAGCTCAGCTCTATAAAAAGGCCACAGTCTTAGGGCAAATACTCCATTGTTCCCAGGACCAATATGCCTGTGGCACCAGCAGGGGCAGAGCGCTCAAGCAACCAGCAAGGCTCCGGTTACAGGCTCCAGCTCCACTCTGCTCGCTGATAGGGCTGACACCCACGGGGTCTGCACACTCTGGGGACACCAAGGGTGGATGCCCCAGGGGAGGAAGGCTCCACCAACGGAAAGACAGGAGTCAGCAATTGCACAGTGTATGAGCACTCCCTGCTGGCCACCGAGGTTGAGGATGAACAGGTGGTTTCTCAGTGGTGACGAAGGTTTCTGTAAGGAGGCTAAAGGATATACCTCACTCCTCAGGGATAGAAGTGTGGTTCTGATTAGTTCAAGAGAGTTCCAGATGTTATGCTGAATGAGTAGAAGGTGAGGAGAGGATATTGATAGGAGGAACTCCAAGAATGGGCAAAAACTGTGTGTAAAGCTGGTATACGATTTTCATTAATGTTTCCAGCTATTAAAATTCTATAAAGCCTATACGGGCCTATGTGTGGACACGTGTGTGGGGGGAGGAGATACAGAAAAAAAATGAATTTCTGTTCAGCTCCCTTTATCTCAAGAATCTTGAGACAGTCCAATGCGTTTGCAACATTTACATTTTATTAGGAACTGCCATCTAAACCCTGATGCTACTCTGCCTGGTGTGTCCCCCACACCACTGCCCCTAAGCCCTAAACAGGTGGTCCTTGTTTGTCTGACAGGCCTGAGGCAACAATACTGGTATCTCCCTTGTGCTCTGCTCTGTTTGGGTTCTTTTGCATAATAAGATGAAGGTCAAAATGGCAGCCTGCTAAAAGCAGCAGTATTTCAGTTGCGGGAATAACTTGCTTGTCATCAACTTGTTAATGCAATAGTCAAACATTTCTTTGACATGTACAGTATCAGCTAACTTCAGCAGATAAAGGGTCTAGAACAGGAAGATGCTGCAGATGCTTTAGCTCAGAGGAAGGCTTAGCAGAGCCAAAACGTCAGCAGGGTCTGTTTGTTCCATACTTTCCATCGGGCTCTGTGAAAAAAATGTTAGATTACTGCAATGACAAGTTTGTGACAAGCAAGTCATTTGTGCAACTGGTGCGCTCCTGTTTTTATCTGTTTACCATTCAGACTTGTGAATGCCATTTCAAGCACTTACAGGATTCCTGGCTCCCATTAAGGGGAAATGGTTCCTCCATATTTAGAATTTTCTGCCTCAAAGAGAATTACGAAGCAATTATTTATCCCTGTGGTCACAGTGTCACAAGAAGCACAATCTTGAGTTGTTTAGTTGGACTGAATCATGAAACGGAGTCCTGGGGACTGGATAGCTCGGAGCATCAGAGATTTCTCATTGAGTTTATTGGAATGACTACAAAGCAAGCCTGTGAGAGTCAGTAAAATTGTGGCCAGCTTAAAATACCTTGCTCTCTTGCTCCAGGATCATATATCAAGGCCATATGCTTCAAGGCACATAAACTTGTTTGTAATGAGTAGATCCTGAGAAGCCAAGGCCTGACTCTTGTCACAGACACCGACATGTGATCTCATGTGAGAGGCTTAGTGACAGGGACTGCTTTAACTGTCGAGAAGGGAATTTACACGGCCTTCTCCCTGTGTTCTGTGGGTAAGCAGAGAGCCAATCCAAATCCAGAAGAATTGTAAGTATAAAAAGTAATATCGTAATATAAGATTAACACTTGCTATCATCCTCTCTAGGTTGACTTTTTCGTAGTAAATGGAGGCTCTGGCAGGTTTTGAATCAAGAATTCAAGATTATCACATTGGCTTCTTCACCCAAGATCCCTGAGTGACTTTTGGTGAGTCATTTTAAACCCGTGGGAGGGAAGATACAAAATAATAATACCTACTCCTTGTTCACCTGACAGGAATGGTCTTAGGGTCAATGTTAAAAGAAGAGCACATTCGGAACTCAAGAGCAAGGCTAGTATTTCTGAAAAGTCATGAATGTGTCCTTTTAAAATCAAAATGATTTAAAATTTTTGTCTATTTTGGTAGTGACTTTATAAATAATTCTAGCTATACCTCTTAAAGAACATGGAATCATGAGTTTGGAAGCGGGGACATGGCAGGGAGAAGCAGGGCAAAGCTGGACCGGAGGGTGAACTGTCAAGAACCAGACAGAAAGTCAAGATGCGGAGGGAGGCAGAGCTTGGTAGGGGTGACACAGAATGCTACAGAAATGTATGATAATCCCCGCTGCATCAAAATTTCATTGTTAATAATCATTCACCAGGCACTACATGTGTTATACAATTTACATGTGTAATGTAATCTTTACCTAACTCTACGGTGTATGTATTATCACTTTTTTTGTAGTTCACATGGTGGAACTACAAGTCAGAGAAATTTAAATACTTTACCATAAATCTGTAAGTAGTAGAGATTTTAAACTAGTTTTTACTTATTCCAAAGCTCTTATACTTTTAAACCATGGAGGAACTAAAGTCATTTCCACTGCCTTCAGAAGACTTTAGAGTTTACTGGAAAACATTTTAATTGGTAAATGCAGGCATTCAAGAATTGGATATAAAGGGCCAATGGGAGTATTCTGGCTCTAGCTGTGTTGCCACCCTTCTGAGGCCTCTGGGAAAGCTGAGCACCACCATCAACATGTCATTCCTTTCGCCCTGGCCTGACCTATTCCTACTTTCATACATTGGAGATGAGGTGAAACTGGTTCTAGCCTAATCACATATCTCTGTGCTATGAATGCAGGCTGTTTGGCTGCATCTCCTCGTGTCCATGCCAACTCCTTTCTCTCCGTGTGTATAGCCTTTAGTTCACCCTACTCTCTGCTCCCATGTTACCTCCAGGGAGCCTTCTTTTGTCACTTGTCTGCAATTCTTTTCAGGTGGGGGAAGAGGCAGACATCTTTCTCACCATGACAAGGATTACTGAAACAGCCTAAACTTCAAACTTTGCACAGAATGCATCCTTTGTTCAGTCTTCTGCTTTGTTTTTCTCTAATGATAGCTTTGCCACAGGTCCCATTCGCATGTAACTCAGAACTATGCAAATCGAACTGGTAAGCAAGACTTTGCAGCTACTCTGTCTTAAAATAAATGTGTCCAAGAGGTGGAAACCTCTGAATGAGGCATATTTTTTGAATATTACGTGTGTAATGGCAGCTTTTCTTGCCTGTGTGGCAAAGAATAAGATCTGCAGTGACATTCCTTTGTGTCTTTTTAGTGTGTTCGGATTTCACAAGAGGTTTAGCTCTCATAAATTGAATGATATTTTAATGATATTTCTGCTTTTTTTCTTTTTGCTTGTAGGGGTTCCCCCAAGCACAGGATTCATACTTA